CCCCCCCCCACTGATTTCTGGGAAGACAGTTTCACTTCTACTCCAGGTGACCCATTCCCCACCAGCCCACTGTAGCATCTGCAAGCCAATCCTACCCTCTTGGTGCTGGACAACTGTGGTTTGGACCTCAGCTCCTCTGCCTGCCTGCTGAGTGACCTTGGGCCAGTCCCCTGACCTCTCAGAAGTTCTTGGCCATCGATGAAAAGGCACGTCATTCTTCTGTTTTAAATGTCCTGTGACACATTATGTATAAAACCAGACTCCCCATGCTTTCATCCAGCTTGACTGTTCAGTGGGTCTAAGGAAATTTCTTGCCTGCCATGAAATGTCAGGACTGCAACTTCTCTCGGGTTCTCCGGGAAAACCAACCTAGTTTCCTTATTGTCTCCTCGAGTTACTTTTCAATTTAATCTGAATGTCTTTTCTTCACCTAAGTTCATGCAACTGGCCTCACCATCTGGGCTTCCCAGCTCACAGTCCCTCTGCCAAGGGCAATAGAACAAGACACTGTCTTTACAAATAATTGTTTTAAAAAAAATTAGTTGAGCATGGTGGCACACATCTGTAGTCCCGGCTATTAGGGAGGCAGAGGCTGGAGGATCACTTCAGGAATTTGAGGCTGCAGTGAGCTATGATCATGCACTGCACTCCAGCCTGGGCAACAGGGAAATCTTGTATCTGAACAAAACAAACAAAAACCAGACCTGCATGTAAAGTACTTGGAAGAGTACACAGTGCCAGGCACACAGTAAGTTGTCAGTAAGTGTTGGCTATTAATATTTTTCTTGTATTCGTGATTAGTCTATGTATATAGTGATACAGACCCAGACAAGAGAAGTAAGTGCAATGGATAATATGTCTGCAAACATGTAGTAAGAGTTTTTCAATCCAAGAAGAATTCCTGGAGGAGAAGACTGAAGTGTAAATTTGAAAAGGAAGAAGGAATAGGGCAGGGATTCAGCAATTGTCTTTGGAAGAATGTGCTGATGGTTAATGGCCTGGCAATGTTCCCATGGTATCTAAGCAGCCTGGGCAGGGCCACCTGAGTTTTCCATGTTGCAGGGGACTCCATGTGGTCTCCAGGACTTTGCTCTGCTGCTCCAGGAACCACACGTGTCCCAGCCAGAGATAAGAGACATGGAGGGCTTCTATGTAGCAGCCTCCCAGAGGGCTCTGGGATACAGGACTCCTGGACAGAGCAAGGAAACTCTGCATGGCCGGGAGCTCAGAGTCCAGGCGCCAGGCTCCTCCTCCTATCCCTCAGCCTGGAAGGAGCCTGGGACATAGACAGCCAAGCAGATGTTGGCAAAATGGGTTTGGGAGGTGGCAGGGGTTTGGTTTGGAGAGGGGAGAGGCAAGAAGAGCCAGAAGGGCTGAAAGTCACCTGGATGCTCCAATCAAGCTGGTGTGCAGTAACTTAGAACCCTCCACCACCATGTTGCTGGGTGAGGTTTTGACTCCTATTAAATGAGCAAGAGGTTCTCAGGGGAAAACTTGATCTGCCCACTTTCTCTCCGACAAAATTTCTCTAGATCTAGAATCTGGGCTAAGTTGCCCGAGCACTCTGGGAACACTGAAATGGGTCACCTGGAGTTGTATTGAAGGGACAGATGGTACAAGTCAGTTGTGATCCTTACTCGCCTTGGGCAAGTCCCTTCCTCTCTCCGTTCTTTCGAGTTCATTGTGGTCTTGGACTACTAATTTGGGGTCCTACAGCTACCCCTACCTGCTTCTCAGCCTGGGAGGTAGCCTTGGGAAATATGTATAACCTTCCTCCTTCAACAATGTCCAGTCACTGGAATGACACGCAGCCTTAGGGGAGGAAGGAATGAACGGAGCTCCCATGACTGGAGATAGCCATGTGCCCCCTAGAAAGCTTTACAAAGGCATCCTCTCCACTCTGGCTCTCCCATTGTCCTGGCTTCAAGTCTCTCCCAGTCACATCGCCTCATGCCCCATGTTCCCTCCAGATGATACGAGGAAAAGCAGGGCCTATATTCTTCCCACCATGGCCAGGTTCCTGGAAATCTCACCTTTGTTGATGCAAATTCCAGACCAGGTGGGGTGATGTGGGGTGATAAAGTTGAAGAACTAGTGCCTAGACAGCACCTCTGGCTAGGTCTCTGCCAGGGGTGTTCAACCTTTTGGCTTCCCTGGGCTGCATTGAATGATTGTCTTGAGCTATACATAAATTATGTAATATAGTTAGTATATATATAACAAGACTTCTTTTAAAAACACTTTTTGTTATAAAGTTTAGAAAAGTGAGAACAATATGTACTAGTGGAAACTTTGACCTTGATTTTATAAAACTCATCTATCCATGTCTGTTTCAATGGAAGTGGTCGCAATTCTGAGTTCTCAAGATGCTCGTCAGAAATGTATTTTGCTCTTCATGTGCTTTATAACTGAAAACAACTGCTCATAAATGTGAACTTCAAAAATGGAAATACACACAGGGTCACAAAGAAAATAAATGCTACAAAACACATGATGCTAAAGATTTTGTGGAGCTGGATTACTAGCTGTCCTGGGCCTCATGCAACCTGTGGGTTGCAGGGTAGATGTGCCCGGTCTACACGTTCAGTGATCAGGGTCCACATGATGGCACATTTCATGGCCAGTTAGACCTGCGAAGGGAGCTATGGGCCCCTCTGTCCAACCTACCCAAGTCCTGAGTAGTTTGATGACTCTCCCAGGAGTAGAGACAACATTGGACCTGGGCTGGCCTCATCTGAGTTGAGCGCTCTTCCCTCAAGATCTCAGGTGGTGCAGGTCCTTGAAGTGGGTCTTCCCAGGCAGAAACAACCAGCTCAGGTGTGTGACGATGGTGCGAAGTAGACAGTGCCATGGAGAGTTGCTATCCCAGGGCTGGGGGATCCCTAGGGCTCCAGATCACACAGCAGTGGTGACTCAGGCTAAATTCCCAGCATTCCCCTCGCTGCAAGAAAAGGGCTACAGGCTCTGAGTGTGCCCTTGACACACACAGCTTCCTAGACACACCCAAGTTACTAGAGAGATGCCTACGCCTAGTAGTACACTTGTCCTGATTAAATTGGGCAAGAACAGGTGACCCTGGCCCACTTCCACAAATTGAACTTATAAAACTTCATTTCCGTGTCTCCTTTTTAAATGAATGCCCTTCACTGCCTGCTTTTAGGCCGAGTACATATTACTGTACACCAGAAGAGCAGTGACCTTGGAGTGGGTCTGAGTTGTTTTTTGAGTTGGGGTCTTGCTCTGTCACGCGGGCTGGAGTGCAGTGGCACTAACACAGCTCACTACAGCTTTGACTTCCTAGGCTCAGGTGATCCTTCTGCCTCAGCCTCCTGAGTAGCTGGGACTATAGGCATGCACCATCATACCTGGCTAATTTTTTTTTTTTTGTAGAGGTGAGGTCTCGTTATGTTGCCCAGGCTGGTCTCAAACTCCCGGCCTAAAGTGATCCTCCTGTTGTGAGCCACAGTGCCGGGCCTGGGTCAGGGCTCTGGAGTGTAGAGATGGACATTTTTCTGGTCCCACCTGGAAAGGTGAGAAACTCTCTCTTCTCCCCGCTATCAGCAGATTGCCCAGCCTCCAGGATTGCAGATCTGGGGAAGTCTCGGTTGACCCCAGAAAAGCACAGAAAGCAGAGATCCCTTGGGCGGCAGCTGCTTTCCTGGTGGGGACACCCCCTGCCTGTCACCTTGATGGTGAAGGAGGTGAACTTATCATTGGGACTCTTGATCTGCTCCTTCTCCTCCTTCCACACCCGCTGGAGAGAAGGACTGGCCTCCAGGTGGAGGGGGCCGAGGACACTGGTTGACAGTAACTGCATAGGGTTGTGGATACGCTGGTTGACAGTGACCACATGGATGTCTCCAGCTCTGGGAGTCACTCCTCCTCCAAATCCATCCCCACTGCAGGCTCCCCGCTCTGTACTCTGTGCTCTGACACTCAGCCCATAGCCAGCACCCCCAAGTGGGCCTGGCTGGAGTGGCAGCCCCCACGGACAGAGATTCTCTTGTTACCGTGAGGCTGTGGAGACTCCTTGTCCTGAAGCCACCCCCAAAGCCACCCCGAAGCTCTTCCTGGAGGCAGAACTGAAGATGGACTGGCAGCCTGGGAGAGGCTGGGAGGAGGGTGGTTGAGTAAGCACCGAGTTTCCTGGTGCCCCCTGACTCAATGGTGACTAAGGACCATGGGGTCATGGTGGGAGCTGGTGCCAGGGGGTCAGAGAAATGGAGAGGTCAGATGGGTGAGGAGCCTTCAGAGTTAGTCTACTCAGCTCTCCCAAACTCCTTGTGACTTTATCCCTTTCAAGAACTAAGCTTGACTGGAGAAGGTCAAAGACCATGATGTTGAGGTCATCTCAGGGGCATGTCTGGCCCCATCTGGTCTCCTGACTCATCATCACCACAGGGACATCCTCCCCAGGGCAGGATCAGGCCTGGGGCTTGGGGCCTGAGCAGGCCTGATTTCCCAAGCCCCCCACCCATGCAGGCTTTCGGTCTTATGCTGTGGACTTCCCCCACTGCCTCTCATTCCAACTCTGTTCTCTATTCCCAGGTTTTGGATTACCAACCCAAGCACTTGACTCTACTCTTCCCATCCTGGTCACTCCCCCCAAAAAAGCCTCATTTATGGAGGATTCTATTGTGCCACACCACGCAGCTGGTAGGTCACAGCATGCTCTCATTTGACACTCATAACTGAGATAGAAAAATAGGAATTAAGCAGGAAAGCTGAGCTCAAGGGTTTTTTCTTAAGTAAGTAGCTGCATACCATTTCTCTTAACTGCAATTTCTGCTTCTGTAAACATGCTTTACTGTACCTCATATGGGAATGTCCATAAAGATGTTTGCTTCAATGCTTGTTGCAGAAGTAACTGTTCCCGGTCCTAAATTTAAAATTGTAAACCCACCAATGGCAAACTCAAGTATGTTGTAACCACAAAAAGCTCTATAAAAGCAGCTTGAAACTGAGGGTTGGGGCTGAGGTTTTGGGAGGCTATTCTGCCTGAGACTTCCCGGAATAAACACCTCCGATTCTCTTCTTGGTCTCGGATGCCTGCTCTGAGTGCGTTCATTCCTGTTCCTGGTGAGTTGTTGTAGTTGCTGTAACATAATGGCTTTTGAGGGTGAAAATAAGGTCAACTGTGGGCATTTTTCAAGCAGCTACTATGGGTTTCACATCTAACACGTCCCTCAATCTCAGATAGCACTACAGGGTGGCTGTTACTAGTCTTGCTTTGCTCATGAAGCAATTGAGGCACAGGGTAGATGGATACTTTAGCTAAAGTCACATGGCTGGTGAACATGGGTGCCTGTTTCAGAGCCCCGTGATCTGATGCTGGATCACATGTCCTGAATCATCACACTTTGAACGGATGGGGACATCGGGTTCCCAGAGGAGAGGTGGCTTGTCCAAAGGAGGAAGCGTCAGGATCCCCCAAATTCTTACCTCTCCACTACTCCCTTCCTGGGCCTGCCCTTGCCCCTCCCTCTGGCACCAGGGGATTTAACAATAGTTCTGTGTCCTTTTGTCGCCCTCCCCCACCCGCCCCCACTGTCCCCCCCTCCCAGTCACTCCAAACTTTGGTCCTTGGTGTCCTCCTCATCCTCCTTCCTAATTTTCCTGTCCCTCCACTTACTTCTAGACTCCTCTACTCCTGACCAGGTTTTCAGAACCCTGCCTGCAGCAGCTCACATCAGTCCAAGTTTGATCCTGAGCACTAAATCTACTCCTTCCAAGCCCCCGTGGACTACCCTTCCCTGGGCTGCCCCTCCCTGGGCTATGCCACTGCTCAGGTCTGATGGGAGGGGCCCAGGGGACTCAGGAATGAGGGAGCTTCCTGGCTGTCTCACTGGGCCTGCAATTATGGGCTAAGTGGCTCCTCTGGTGAAAACCTTGCCCCAGGGCTGACTTTTAACTCCTCTCCCTGGCCTGTTATTTCTCTGCTCTTGTCTGCAAGTTTGAAGCTGTCTGGGAACAACCCACTCCTTGGAGGGGGGGCTGGGCTGCCCACCCTGTGAAGGTGTTCTGGACACAGTCTAGTTTGGAGAAAGGACGCTGCTGCCCTGCATGACACACAGAGCAGGGAGGCTGGGCAGAGCTTCTCCCAAGGGCTTGGGCTTCACAAACAAGGCAGGCCAAGGAGGCCGCAAAGAAAGTCTGGCTGGCCCTACCCTCCCCACACCTCTGTGTTGCCCTCCCATCATCCCAACCACCTTCTCAGCTCAGAGAGGAGGGGGTGAGGGCTGATGCCTCTGAGTCCCGCTGGCTTGGTAGAGAAGGAGAATTGCTCTGGTTCAGTCACAGTTCCAAACAGAAAGCCAGATGCCAATCACATGACACATGCATTTAATAGACAGATTCCAGGGAGGGAACAGAGGGAGCACTCACTCCCGGCAGGCGGGTGACAACCTGGCATTGAGTTGGCCTCAGAGACACAGACTCACCCCTCTCTGCATCTGGAGGGAGGGAGGGAGGTGGAATTGAGGGAGGAGTTTCCAGACTACTTGGGCCTCCCAAGGTGGGCCGAACATGAGCCTTGGAGAGGGGGGCTTTGGTTTAGAACATGTAGCGGAGAGGAGCTGTGAACAGTCTGGGCACTGCTTGGGAGGGCAGAGGCTGCAAGGCCAGGGCCTGGGATTAGCCAGGACTTCAGGGGTGCCTTAAGGAGGGGAGGCAAGCAGAAGGAGCCAGATGTCCAGGTGTGAGTGCCAACAGACCTCAAGGCAGAGTGGGGGTTGGGGGGTGGCGGGGTGGGAGGTGGGAAGAGGGAGAAAGTGGGAGGAAAGGAGGTCTTGCTCAGTG